TTCATTCAGAACCTAGACCTCATGTGTGGCAAATACTATGCATATATATATAAAAACGGTGGATCTTTGGGGGGGGTACCATATATCTATATATATACCGTCCTCAATATTCCAATCTTCTCACTGTAAAATTTCGTCACAGCATGGGTCGAGATGCAAGGCCGAGCCGATTCCGGTCCCGGTGCCGGTCCCAATGCCTACGGTGGTGCCGGCTCTCATACCATCCGCTGCTTTGCCGCCTGTTCCAGCACCTGCTCCAATGGCCACGGCTCCTAAGACCCTGTCTGCCCTCATGCAGGCATCCTTGCATGGGTGCAGGTAATGTCTTCGCGCGTTGTCGGTGTTTTGGCATTTTCTGCACAATGCAGGCCCAAGCTGCTGGAGCAAACATCGCTGCCTCGCCCTGCCATGCGCCGTTTATCAACACGTACAGCGTCGGTTGGTTCCTCTGAGCTGTAGAAGCATGGCAGGCTTCTGGCTGCGCAGCCGGCCACACGGCACTGTTTCAGGGTCTTTGCAAGCGCATGCAGAACTGTGCAGGGCAGTTCAAATCTAGCTGGAAGCTCCGGACTGCATCTGCAGTTCTGGGGTATGTAAATTTCGTACGTCCGGGATCCTAATCGCAACTTTATACGGGGATCCTGATTGGAAAGTCTGCAAAAAGACTCAGTTCAAGCTGCGTGTAGTTTTCGAATTCATGATAGCCACATGGGTCGTTTCTCGTGCTGCCAGGCTGGCATGGTGGGCATGTCAGGAGGCGCATTCTGCATTCCAAAGCCTCACTAGGTCAGGGCCAACGTGTCGAAGATTCCATAAACAAAGCTTCTTGCATGGCAGTTTAGACAAACCTTGGGGCGGGAACGCGAAAGCGGGTGAAGAAATATTTCTGTATGGCAGGAGAGGAAGCACCCGGCGACATCACGGCTCTGGTGCAGGTGCCTGCCGGCAGGGTGGGATCCTTGTCCTGCCTGTGCCATGTCGATTGCCCTCAAGACGAGGACTCGTCCCTACAAATCATTCGTCATATGTACTGCACTAGGATATACTGCGGCCTTAGATGTAGTGCAACGGCCTTGCATTGAGCGTTGCCCTTTCCACGGGGTAGGCAGCAAAATCGCGCGAATGCCGGGGATTTTGAGAAGAGCTAACTCAGCGTTGATCATCACCTCTGACATGACCATTAATCAGCAGTATTCCTGGATGCTCGTATGTTGGTTGTGTGCTGTACATACTCCAAGGTCAAAGACCTGCTGGGCGTGCAGGGAAGGACCGGAAGCTGTCAGTTGCAGGGTTTACAGGGATTGCACGTCTTAATCGGTCCTTAAATCCATCCACTGCCAAGTCATTCCAGTCCAAGGTTTGGATTTTGCCGTGTCTTGCAGCAGCTACTCTAATCCAAATTTCTGTTTGCATTGGACTGGGCTGCGGGTTCCAATCGAGGGCCTAGTTAATGCTTGCGGATTTTTTGGCTTCTGGAGTTGTACAAAAGTCCGCGGGCCCTTCAAGACTTGCAGTCATCAAGATCACAAAGTTGATGGCAGGAACATCAAAGCTCTCAAGTCCCAGACCGGCGTGGCTAAAGTTGGCGTCCTGGATCGAAATGATCCAGCCAACGTGGAGATTGCCGGGCGCTGAGTGCACTTTGGTGCCAAGGCTGAATTCTCCTTATGTACCCCTAATAATATACAAATATACCCTATTATAGTAGTTTCGATTTTCTTTTCCATTATCCTTGTATAACCCAAATATATATCATACCCTATTATAGTAGTTTCGATTTCCTTTTCCATTATCCCTATATAACCCAAATAGATATACATATATATAGCCACGTAGGCATTCATCCTGGGGATTGCCAAAAGGGCCAGTAGCCAGTACGCAACTCTGAGCCACGGTCTTCAAGCAGCACAAAGGCCCCGGGATGGCCCTGATCGTGGGACATGGCAATTATATCGGGGTTATATAGGGGTTAATGGAAAAGAGAATGGAAACTACTATAATGGGTTATATAGGGATTGTAGGGGTAATATAGGGGTTATATAGGGGCTAATGGAAAAGAAAATGGAAACTACTATAATCAATCTTGGGGCTATATTGGGATAATGGAAAAGAAAATGGAAACTACTGTAATATGGGTAACTTGAAGCAGGCTTTGAATGCCATAGCATGGGTGAGAAGTGGTCAGTTCTGAGCCTTTCTTCTGAAACTTAAAATCTTTCATAAATGGGCTTATACGTGCCGTCACTCGGGTTGTAAGTGGTGAGACGCATAGTTACGGACCCTACTTACAACCCAATAAACCTCCGAGCGCGTGGCATGGAACACGCCTGGCCCGTTGAAAGCCCCGGCTCAAGGATTTGCCTATTAAGGGTTCAGGGTTTAGGTGTACAAATGCAGGAGAAACATCAGCTACATTAGAAGTCGGTATTTGGGATCTTGGCAATAGTAGTTGTCGTAAAGCACATATGTGTGTATATATATATATATAGAGAGGTTTTGGGTCAGCACTTGAGTGTTGGGTATTGGATACGTTGGGTTATCGAAGCCATGTCCCTGGTTGGGGTTATGGACCTAACGGCCATTCATCCTACCCTCAGGCTCCATGTTAGCTATAGTCTAAACTCCTTGAAGGGGGCTATATAGGGGAGTAGTATAGGGATTATCAAGAGGGATACTAGGAGTTTAAACTAAAGCTCCATGTTCTGTGCACAATGTGACAAGGATGCACACTCTAATACATTTGAAAATCCAAACGCATGAGAGGAATTGAGAAGATGGGAAAGAAGCCATTCCCCCCTTCAAGTGCTCAGCACACCTCATTACCTTACCCAGAGGGTCCAAGTACCCAATAATTAGGTACTTACTGGGTAATAGCAACAATAGTACAGGTTTTGGGTAAGTTGCCAAAACGCCTTGAAGCCTGACATCACGAAAAGCAATGGTGGCGGTTTGGGGCCTAAGTATCCAAGGATGGTGTACTTGGGACTTGCGTACTAGCGCTTGTTGTGCATGTCTTCGGGACGGGCGAGGTTATGAGGCGACTGTTATACAGAGGATGATGACATTGTTTCTTGGATGACCGTATTTTACAAGCGCGGTCTTATCTCAATTTCTTCTGCCGCCAGAAAACAGCATACAGGTCACAGGCCACACGCTGCGGGTGCTGTTTGATGAATAAATTGAGGTTAAGACCGGTAGCATTTTCAATGGGGATACGATAGTCAATCACACAGAGTAAGATGACCTTTCTCTTGTGGTTGCAGTAGTCTGAAGGCCGGATATAACCTTCGTGAGTCCAACCGCTGCTACTTTGGCCAACTGCCCTTCAAGATCCCAAAGCACAGCGCTGGCAATTCAGACCCTGACTCCTCTCCTCTTCCAAAGCATTTTAAAACCTAACTTAGCCAAGAGCCCTGTTAACTTGAGATGTTCGCTAGCCTTTGCCTGGATATCCATGGTTGCGTTAGTGCAGGGGCTGTCACAGCCACGAGTGCTTATGGCGTCCTCTCTGTGCGGCACATACCCGTCTAAGCCTGAACCTAACACCCCCGACCCTCAACCCAAACCCTAGGCCAAAGCCTTCAACCCCTAAACCCCCAACCCTTAACTCTCATACCCTGAACCCTAAACCCTAAACCCTGACTCTCATACCCTAAACTAAACCTCAACCGCAAGTCTGAAATCGAAGCCTTCACGCCCTTGAGCTGGTGGCAACTCCGAGATGAGGGCAAATGTACAGAGGTGGCTGGAATGGCAAGAGCCTGGACCTACCAAATACCCATGTTTAGGCTTTAGGGTCTAGGATGGATTTGAAGATTTAGGGTTTAGGGTTTAGGGCTGTTACTATAGGTACTTGGGGAGATGAAGGGCAGGGCTTGAGGGTGTATTGAAGTTCCCCTCTGGTGAGGGAATGGGTAGAAATCAAAACGGGAGCTTACCAACTTCTTTGGGGTGTAGACTGTATAGGGTGCTTAGTAGTAGGAAGGAAGCAGTGAGTTCTAGGACTACCCTAAACCCTACAACCCTGAAACCCTAAAAGTCCAAATCCCTAAGCCAGGGATTTTTGTTACTAAGCACCATTAGGTTTTGCATGTGTAGCAGAGAATTTTGTGAGCCCGAACATCCCCAGGTGACTGAGGCACTCCTGTCTGTCTCTAGGAAACCCCAATCGCGCCCTGTTTTGGCAACCCTAAACCACAAACCCGGAATACAACGCTTAAGTTAGAATACTTGCATGTGTGTGTGATGCACTGACCGATCATCCCTCGCACAGCCCCTGTGATGGAGAGGATCATTTGTCAGACTATGCTCCATCCGATGTCCCCTCCGACTTTCAGGGCGATTGGTTGTCCAGGCAAGACAGACTTGTTCCAGTTGTCCCAGGACCGTTGGATGAGGAAGCTCGCCAGCGCCGTGCTCAACTTCAAGATTATGTTCCTGGCGCTTTAAGAAGCGGACTTCGCAAGCAGCGGAGCTACCTCAAGGTGAAGAGCAGATGGCAAAACGTCTTCAAAAGGCAGATTTTGTCAACTACACCTTGTCTGCCTTGGCGGAGCCGGTGTTGCACAAGCAGGACGCACCTTGCAAGCTCGGCCGAAAGGAAGTGGAGCAGTTGCAACCTCGTAAACGCCTTCAGCCTCCCAGTCGCCGAAATCCCAAGAGGCCGCGCTTGACTGTGATGTTTGCGGCAGATGAGTCCATGGCAGTGTGTCAGGAAAGTGCTGAGCAAGTTGAGGCTAGACCCAGGAGGGGAAGTTCTCTTTTGTGGAGAGGATTGACTTTGTTTCCCCGGAGACGCCGTGCTTCTATAACCTTGTGGGCGAGGAAGGTGGCGCCTGAAACTGAGCCCATCTTCGTGGAGAAGGATGGCGGGGTGTACAAGACCTTCCCGGTGGACAGCTCTACCTTTCTTGCTGCCAGCCTCGACTTGCGCGGGGGCACGAAGCTAAGCAAGGCCTTCATCCTCAAAATGAAGGCTAGTGGCAAGGAGCTGGATCCCAAGTTTTTCGACTTCAAGGAGCGCAAAGCTGGCTTTCGATGAAGCCGACGGCAAAGAGTGGAAGGCCTGGGAGGACTTGGGCGTGATCACTCAGCTTTCCAACGAACAAGAAGCACATAAAGTACCTCGTGACAGGATTGTCCGGATGCCAGCTCGCGTTGCTCGTGTGAACAAAGCTCAGCCAGGAGATCCCGCTCTGAAAGCCAAAGAGCAGGATTGTGCTCCCTGGACATCTCGCTCCTGACCTCGGCGCCATCCGCACCGATGCGCCGACTACCAATCCCACTGCTGCGCGCAGGGCGATTGTCATTTGTATCTTGAGAGGATGGCATTGCCTGCTTTTCGACGTGTCCACAGCTTTCTTGACAGGCAAGAAGCTCGAGAGGAAGCTTTTTGCTCGGGCGCCTGGGGGCGTTCCAGGGGAGCTGCGGCAGATACTGAGATCTGCTTACGGGCTTGCCAAGGCACCACGACTGTGGTATGAGGAGGCGAAGAGATTGCTGGAGGAGGCCGGCTTCACGGAGGTGACCTTTTCTCCAGCGAGTTCGTCGGCGAGGAGGTTGGCGTGTCCTGGCGATCTATTGTCTCCATGTAGACGATGGCCTCCTGGTGGGCGAGCGCGCGACTGTGGACCACCTCAGAAAGGTCATTGACGAGAAGCTCAACATTAAAGAGTGGTAAGTGGTTCTCCAGGACTTCCGCCCCTTCCTTGGACTTCAGATAGCCATTCGTGGAGGCTGCTTTGTCAATCATGACATGACCGAGTACCTCAAGGGCATCCAGGGGTGCATCGTGACCGGCAAGGCGGAGGACAAGCTGAGCGTGGAGGACCTTAAGTCTTTCAGAAGGCTGGTGGCACAACTCAGGTGGCCAGCTCACCTGGTGCTGCCCGAGTTCCTCTTTGACTTCTTGGCCCAGAGAGTGGGGCAAGCTACTGTGGGCGACCTCAAGATGGCCAATGCACTTCGTGACAAGATGGTGCAGGGCGCCAAGGAGGGACGGGACAGGCAGGGCTTTTCCTTCGTCCTTTTTCGGGGTGATCCGTGGATGGCCACGTTCTTCGATGCGAGTTTTGGCAAGACGTCCAGCAAAGCTGCTCAAAGGGGTGAATTTCATTGCCGATGCTGCGGTTCTCAACGGAAAGGGGACGGCTTCCATCGTTGAGTATCATTCCAACCAAATCACCAGGGTTGTTCACAGCTCGATGGTGGCTGAGCGTGCCTCGATGGTAGGAGCAGCTGACAGGCTCCTCTTCAACCGCAAGTTGTTGGAGGCTCTGTGGCATGGTGATGTGGACGTCCAGAAAGAGTGGCGTGTCGAGCTTAAGATCCCGGGCTGCTTGCTTACCTATGCCAGGAGTTTGTACGACTATGTGCATAGCTCCTCGACTATGGCTTCGGAGAGACAGACGGCTCTGGACATCCTGGGCATCAAACAGATGGTCTTTAAAGTGGATTTCTTCGATTAAATGGGACACCAACTTGGAAGCAGTACGGGGACGGCTTGACCACGGCTATGGACGATGTGCTCTTTCGTGCCTTCCGCAAAGATAGTTCTTTCAGCGTGGTCCAAACGGCTGAAGATCAGCAGGAGGAAGAGCGCAGGGCTGGACTTCGTAAAGCTC